GAGGAGGAACACCCACATATACCGTGCAGGTCATCAACTAGAAGCAGAAAGTATTTCTTCCTTCCATGTGTTTCTGGTATAATGGGGCACAGAGGTCACAGTGCAGAAGTCCATGTGGTTGATCAGCTCAGAAATTTGCTTGGGATGGGAACATCGCCGCTGCTTCCCTAACATACAGCCATCACAAGTCCTTTCTTGCTTGTCCAGGAGAGGCAGTCCAAGCACCACCCCCTCTTGAAACATCTTCTTGGGATAGATGGAATTTATGTGCGCAGACCTAGCATGCCAGTGCCACACCTCCTCGTCGTGCACCGACTGCATACACACCAACTCCACATGATTAACATGGAGATAGTACATCCTGTTTCTGGCTTGGTTTACCTTGGTGAAAATGTTCCGCTGCCGATCAAACAGACATTGCCCCATCCTCAACTTCAGTCTTGCATCCGACCTCATCCAATTGGCCTATAATGATTATATTAATCCACAACCTGGCGATATAATACACACCTGTGAGAATTCTGTGCTCACCAAAGTGTCAACACAACTCCACGGCCACATATTACCACTGCAGATCCATCTCCAAAACGAATTGTCTGACTGACTTGTCCAGCTCGGCGAACTTGTCAACTCTGCCTGTCATATGATTGTTGGCGCCAGTGTCTAAGCACCAACTGACATGGTGCTCTCCCATGAGCTGAGGCACATATCAGCATGCGTATCGTTCGTTATATGTGTCGATGGACTCAAACTGATGGAAATAAAACCCTGAATCATCATTTCTGAACTCTCGCCATCAAAATTTCACTCCCTTCACTCTAAATCTGACATCCCAACCCTCGACACCAAACTTCGTGCCACAGCGCACAATCACATTCTCCAAACAACCTACCCAACTCCACAACGCGGCATGCCCCACCCTCCCAGGCCAGAGGCCGCCTGCCCGCAAGCGAGCGAGACGCGGGGCCACGAGGCCATCTACCGAGAGCGGAGCGGCCTGAATACGGGGCGTGTGAGACCTCGGAGATGGGAGATGGGGAGTGGACGCACCTTCGGGACGAATTGCTCCGTGGGGGGAGGTGGCTGCGGGGCGGAACCCCCACCCTCGCTGAGGCGCCGCCTCTCCTCGCGGGATCTCCGGCACAAGGCCCTGGAGCGAAGACGGTGGCGCTGGATCCTCGCCATGGCATGGGTGAAGTGGCTGTGCACCTGCGGCCTGTCGCGGGGTCTGGTGGAATGGAATGGGGGGAGGGGCCGAGGGGGTTTGTTGTGACCATCTCCTCTGTCACACAGCTACTACTCTGTCACACAGCTATCATGGGGAAGAAGAAGGTCGTGCCGTGGGGACGAGTTTTTTTTTTCTTCTGAAAGAGTGGGGACGAGCATTAAACACTTCCATTGTGTGCTGCGGGCCGTCCGTTTAGCCCGTGCCACGTGCCAGGCGTATTTTTAAAATCTAATGAACATATTTTTAAAATCTATTGACAAAATCGACTTAAATAATGTGAAAATCTTATATTTTAAAAATATTTTTTTACGTGCCTTATATGAATGTTCATATATTTGAAATGAAATCTTCACTTTATATTTAATAAATGTTACCGTATACAACAAAATGTATTTATGTGATGTTAAATTTTTTGTCATGCAACTGTAGCCCCTCATTAGAGTTTCTCTTTCCCTCTCTCGACTACAGCGGCTAGGGCACGTCCTCTCCAATAAACCCGGGCATGGACAACCCGGCCCGGCAGCCCGACCCGACCCCGGCCCGAAAAACCCGGGCCGGGCCTGGCCGGGCTTGTGTTCGGGCCGGGCTCGGGCTTGGAAAACAGAGCATGGCTAGTTTTCGGGCCGGGCTCGGGCTCCAAAATTAACTCGAACGAAAGCCCGGCCCGACCCGAGCATTTGCTGCGAAGAGGCTGAGAAGCAGCGATCCAGCCCAACAGGCTGGCCTTTTAGCCCACAAATCACCTAACCCTAATGCCTACCCCACCGCCCCCCGCTCCCGCACCCGCACGCACACCCCGACCAGTCCACCTTCCTCGATCCCCCTCAACTGGTGGCGGCGATGCAAGTCCCCGGCACTGCCCCGACTATTGCGAGGCCCCAGCGCTGATGTACCTCGTCGGCCTGACGAGCGGCTGCTGCAGCCGCAGCCCTGACCAGTCCATCGTCCTCGAGACCCAAGTGCCCAATCTCCTCGACCTAATCCTCCTCTAGGGCCACGCATCGGCGGCGCTTGCTCCCCATCAGACGGCGGTGCTCCCTCGATCCCTCCCCATTCGACTGTGGCGCTCCCTCCCCATCTGACGGCGGCGCGCCCTCCCCATCGGGGGCATAAAGTGTCTATTGTTGTTTCATATTAACATCACCGTTGTACACGTTACCATTGATTCTTGTATTGTTTGTTTTGTAGAAATGAGCACCACAGGAGGTGGACCTTCAGGTTCTCATGCAGATGAGTTGTCTTGAGATTCGGTTTGTATTCATTCATGTCATTGCTCATTTCTATCTAACTTACTATCTTGTCTTGTTTATCATATATCAGTTATGCACTCCTTTACTACCTTGTTTTGTTTGTTAATATCAAACTTGCTTCCGTGTTTCATGCCATTCCTATTTTTCTTATTTTCAACTTGTGCTTTCATCCAGGAAAATGATGAAGTTGACATAGCTTGATGGAACAAGGAAGAGATGGATGATTCAAAGGAGTCATCAGCTTGTGGCATTGAACTTGCTATTTGATATCTTTATTATGTAATGGACTTGATATTTGATATGCTGTTATGTAATCGACTTGTTGAACCATGTTGCAGACTTGTCAAACTATGTTGCTTGTGGACTTATTGAACTATATATGCTGTTGTTTGTGAAATGCAGCTGTTTTGTGAAATATGTATATGCTGCTGTTTTGTGAAATATGATGCTGTTACTTAAAGATCACATGTATATACCGTGCTACTGTTTATAATGTTGTTGTTTGCTGAAATGTGTTGTTTCTGTAACTTGGTGCACATCAAGATCATGAGTTTTCGGGCTTCGGGCTTTTTAGCCGGGCCGGGCTCGGGCTTGTAAACGTGATTTTTTGTCGGGCTTTTTTTGGGCTCGGGCTTTACATTTTAGCACCGGGCTTTCTGGAGCCCGGCCTGAAACCGGCCCGGCCCGAGAGATGCCCGTGTTTACTCTCCAAGCTTTGTCGACAAGACCGTGGGTCCATCTCCCTTCTGTCTGCCACACACACGCGACCAGTGACAGGGAAGGGGGTACTAGTGCCTCAGCTCTGGTTAGTAATTTAGTTTTTTTTTGCATAGGCGTTCAGGATGATAGTGGCACTTCATCTTCAAGTTGGTCTTGAGGGCTCTGATCATTCTCAAGTTCGTCATGACGAAGCTCCTACTTAGATTCCTCCTACCTCCTTTGGGCGGTGAGGTTAGGTGTTTCTTGTTGTCCATGCGACGACGAGATTTGGTGTAAGACACTTTAGATCAATTCAAGGGTTCAAGGACGACAAATTGTGGCTCCGGGATGCTGCTCTTTAGGGACACGTGCACGAAGACTTCCCTGACTATTACCGACAAGGTCAAGCTGGCTCCAGTAAGGGAGTGACTACAACAGTGCGCCAGTGACTCGTTATAGCGGCGGTGGCGGTCGTTTCGGTGATGTGTGGTCCTTGATATAACTTCTATTATGTTTGGGGTGCTTTGTACTTACCTTTATAATATATTTGGATCATTTTTTCTTAAAAATGTCCCATGTATTTAAAAAATCAAATATTTCAAAAAAAAATGTCTATATGCATCTAGGTATACATTTGTGCATTTTGAAAAGATGTTAAGTCTTTGCCAAAAAGGACATACTGCTTCCTTTCTGGTTTATAAGGTTCATCTTCAAATTTTAGTTTTTCTATTTTATAAGTCTTATTTCTATTATTTACCATCACATGTTCAGATTTTGAGGTGCATTAAATTAGTGCATGCAAGGATCAAGAGAATAGTCACCGATGCATGAAGAAGTTCTTAGAGATTTACAAGTTATTTACTGATCAAGAGAATAGTCATCAATCAAAATCCACATACCTGTAAAACTCTCGTAAGCCTATATATGTATGTGTAGCATTACTACGGAGGACACGTTGTATGTGGAAGGGAAGGTCGAACGAAACGGACGAAACGACTACGGACTCCATTTGATCTACGACGATTCTGCCACGTAACGGTTCCTGAAATTTTCCTTTCCTTTTCAATCTCTCGCCCGACGATCGAGCAGCACACAGTCGTCCCCTAGCCTAGGCCCTACACCCGCCGCCACCACCCACCCCATCTCCGGTCACCGGTCAGTCGCCCCTTCGCCGGCCAACACACCGCGCCGCGAATCCTCCTCTTCCCCGAACGCGCTGGCGCGCCTCCCCGGAGCCTCCCCCGACCGCCCACGGCTAGGTAACGCCCTCTGCCTCTCTCCCTCGTTTTTGCTTTGGGTCCATGAGCGAACCAGGTAATCTCCACGATTGTTTGCTGGTTAGATTATTATTAAGACGTGGAGTTTCTACACCCAGGAGCATTTGCTCCTGATGTGAACAGTAAAATAAAAAATGTCAAAAAATTCTGAAATTTTTTTGTGGCATACTTATACAAATGTTTGTTGTGCACGTAAATTTTTATCGCGAAATCACATTGGTGGAAGGTGTGGTAAAAAAAAACAAAATCGATGCTCTGAAAATGTTACTAAGCATTTTGGAGCTCCGATTTTGTTTTTTTCGGCACGACTTCCACGAATGTGATTTTGTGATGAAAAATTTCATGCACAAGAAACACTTGTGAAAGTATGTCACAAAAAAAATTCAGATTTTTTCGAATTTGTTTTCTATTTTTTTGATTTTACTGTTCACACCAGGAGCATTTACTCCTGAGTGTAGAATGGTACATTCCGTCTAAACAACGCAATCCTGCCACCCTGCTACTGCTAGTACTATCAAGGCGGCAACAACTCTCACCGAGCTGGGGATGGTCAGCATAAACAAGGCAGATATCGTTGAGCCCGCCGACGAAATCGACCCTCCCATGGATCCCAGTCATGCTCTTGCAGTGGACAATTGCGTCGACGCGAATCCGCCAATGGAAAAATCAATTTCTCCTTCGCGGGTACCAAAGAGAAGTTTCCAACCGCCCACAAACAAGAGACAGGGGGCAGAGGCAGAGGAAATTGAAAACCTCCATGTTCAGATCAGACCTCTCAAATGTAAGTTGAACAAGGTACCGTATTATCGTTCTATACGCGATGAAAGGCAGCAGGTTGAGGTCTACCGCCGGCTCTCCCGGTACTACACCCAAGCCCATGAGGTACCAGTTATCACTTTATCATGGTTAGCTTTCACAGTTTTCATGATATATATTGCTTGGTTGGTTCGTCCTGTGTGTGTATTTTCGTAGTCTGATGTCTCCGCCTTTGCGTTTGTGTTCATCTACGGTCCGCTCTTCTACTGCAGTTACCCTCGCCCGGAGAGGAACCAGATAATGCGCAACTGGGCAAGGAACTCGAGCGTTGTCTGGATGCTTATGAAATAAATTTCCTCCAGCGCGCCAAAGACAATGCTGAATGGTACTTCCATCCTGAACAATGCAAGCTTGCCGGCTTGGAAGACTACCAGCGGCTAGTGCTTCGTGATCATGTAGGTCAACAATTGATTTCTCCATGCCAATTAGTCTAACTTTCATCCATGCTGACATTATCAAACTTGTTCCCAGAACCAGTTAATGGGCATTCTGTTCTAACTACTCTGAGGTTGGGGATGGACTTTGTTTTCGTATGGTTGAATGTTATGATACTCCTTATAAAGGAAACTGTTAATGTCCTTTTATTTTTTTGTTTTTGAGACAATGTTAATGTCCTTTTATGATAGTCATGATTAACTCAGCAAGTGCCCATGTTTCTTTATGTGCTTGTACTAGCAGCAGCCCAAGTGACATTTCCTTTCTGCAGGGTATGTATGGAGATTTGAAGCAATACCGCCTGTATTATCATACCTACCAGGGAGATGTAGAGTATGTCCAGTTCCGTGAGCAGATGGCGGAGCAAATTAAGGTAGGCATGATGCAGTAAAGTGTAAACCATTGTATTCGTCATGCTAAGTTGGTCTGATAATGTTCCTTTTTCCATGTGACAGTGGATTGACAACGAAGCAGCACTCTTCGGCGATCAGGTACTCCTCAAAACCTCTTGCATTTCTAACTACACTGTGCTGTAGTGTCACACATGAGCATGGTAACCATTTAATTTTGTTGTGTAGCGGCTGAGAAACGAGCTAGAGGCTTTTCTTCAAACACTGAGGATTGCGATGAGGTTTCCAAATATTTCCGGACGCTCAATTGTCTCTGCCTTACGTGTAATGCGCTTCTCCCACCTATTAATTTGGTTGCTGAAATAAGTGGTGATGGTATTTCACAATTCTGTTTCCAATTTCAGGAGCATCTATATAGCCTTCGGTTTGACTTTAACCACCGGAAGGACTTGGATGGTGTCTATCTTGAGATATGGAAACGGGTTGCTAGGAATAAGGTTATATCATCCGGCCAATCCTCACAATTAAGAAAATTCATGATATCTTTTCCGTTGTGATATTGATATCCACTCGCCTTGACATTGCTTAGATGAATTTCGGTGATGCTTTGAAGCAACTGTATGAAGAGAACATTTTCCCGTTCCGCAGACCTGACATCAAATTAGCACTCGATAGCTATCCAGGCCCCAGTTGGATAAACTCTAGTGTAGGTTCATCTTCGTCAAGGATAACAATCTACTTCTTCAGCTAATTACTTCACATATGGTTTCGTATTTTCATTTAATAATTTCGCTTCACTAATTGTTCTGTTTGTTTCTTTTTCCAGTATGATACTTACGTGGCTGGCATTGATGAGGGGGTAAGCATGCTTTGTGTGAGATCCATGCCTGATTCGAATCATTTACATTGATTTAACACTGCTCTATATGTAGTTCTCGGAAGACGAAGCTCATCCCTTGATCATAGAGGCCGTTGAGAAAATGGTTAGTTGATCTTGCTAGTTTTGTACTGTAGTTAGGAGTTGTTTCTTTGTGAACTTGATCTGCCTCCAATTGGCTATATTTTCAAGTGGATGCCAATATTACTTTCAGGTTGAGAAACGGAAGAACTATTTGGATTACACCAGAAAGAAATTGGAAATCGCAGCACGTATTGGTTTGAAAAGTATGAACAGACTTTACTATACTATTTACATGTCTATTTAATACGATAATAATGCAATTTCTGAAATTTCATGTATAATTTTGCCTAAAGCGAGCAGCTTAGAGGTCACTGCACAAGGCGGGGAAAACCATGGTGATGGGAAGGCTGCAATAGTGAGCCGAGGGAAGCTATGCCATGAATAAAGAATGGCCTATGTTGCTGGTGCCGAACCTGCTGATTCCACCCTGTGCTCTGTCGCATGAGCTCCTGGTCACTTTGTGATGTCATCATCTCTGTCTATGCGCTCCATGTATCCAGGGCACACACTTTGGAGCAGATGTATTCGTCTTTCCGCCGGTGAGTGCCAGAGTCCAATTCACCTTGGCTCCTCTGGAGCAGATTGACACTGCTATATTGCTATGTTGCTATGTTATCACAATAATTCATTTCCAATATGGCGATCTTATCACCAAGTACAGCAAACACCATTGAAATCTTAAGGTGTTTCTGTTTTCTAGGAATAAGCACATGTACGCCTCTAGCCACTCTCGCAGTCACACACAAACTGCTTCCTCTATTCCATGCGCAAGTTTACTGATCAGTAGAATGAATCTTCGCTGTGAAACATAATGTTTTGTTGTCTCCTTTTTCAGAGAGTTTCGTTGTTTAATGACATTGGATGTTGTCTCTTTGAACAAGCTTATTAAATGGTTTTGGCGACCATGGTTTTTCATGTACTAGTAATGCTGAATGACCTTGACATCAGCAGAGTAAATTGCAAAAAATCACCACAATTGGGTCAAAGTTTTCAATGCCTCAGAAAAAAAACCACCGGAAAACATGCATTTTGGTGGGTGTTTGATGACATTTGCACAAATGTGGTGGTTTTTTGCAATTTACTCAACATATCAGCAATTTATTCTAGGCTATTGAATAGTTCTATATTTCTATTATGGAAGGTGCGGTTGCGTGGGCGAGCAAATGGGAGTCGAGCCCCTGCTGTCCGTGGCGTCCATGGACAAACGGGAGGTGTCAAATTTTGCAATTGTGGTTGGAGATGCTCTTAGAACTATCCGAGCAAATGTCAAATGAGATATTTTGCCCTACTCATTGGCTAGTGTCCTGGGGAGAAGAATGATCACTGCTGCATGGTCCTTGGGAACTCTTCTTAAGAGCGAAGACATATGCAGCTTAAAGCTCTCTCGGGCCTTCTTTTGAGTCCTTCCTCCGGTCCTGGACAATGCAAGGTGCTTGAAGTGTGCTTACGAACAAAGTTTTTCATCGGTACAGCAAATCTTGCCATTAAAATGGATGATAAAAAGTTAGTCCCTTTGTGTGCGACAATCAATTTGGAACGGCAGGAATAAGTTTTTTTCTTTAAAAGGAGGAGGGCCCCCGGCCTCTGCACCTGGGCGATGCATACGGCCATTTTATTAATTATTCTTACAAGACCTTACAAAGTCATATAACAATAAGACTAAAGCCAGCAACAACTGTCGCTACTCCTATCCAACTGATGAAGGGGCGCTGGGCCTAATACCAAACAGACATCGCAGCTAGGGGTGGGCATAAAAAACCGAGATCCGAAAAACCGACCCGAAGTATCAGGACCGAGACCAAAATGACCTGAACCGAATAAATCGGTTGCTTTCTCGGTGCCCAGATTTAGAAAACCGATTCTAGTTCGGCTACTTTCGGTCGTCATTGATGGCTAATCGAATACACCGAGGTACCGAGGGCATTCCTACAATGGCCCAAAAAATAGCCCAGCCCATTACGTGAAGTCACCACTTGCCTTCTCTCTATCATCATCGCTACAGCCCCAACCCAAGTCCCTCCAATCGGGAACCCTAGGTTGCGAGCCTACCAGGCTGCAACCCTTCCTGCTCAGCCGCCACCCCTCCAGCCCTCCATACCCCACACCCTCCTCTCCACCGCAGTAGACGGCGACGATGTCCGGCAGCTTGCGCGGCGCGCAGGCGCAGCAGTGATTCTTGGGCTAGCACAATCTCCTCCTCCCCCTACTTCCCCAACGCCCTCACTTCCTCTTCTGCTTACATTGGCGGCCGGCGAGTGTGAGATAACATCCAGCTGCACCTACTCTTCCTTTCTTTAATATAATCTTGTGTGTTCGTCAATCCTTTTTGCCATGGAATGCTCGCGATTGCCAATTTTTCTGGCTAGATTCAATTCTGTTCGCTTTATTCGGTCAAACCGACACCGAACCGAAATTCCTGATGGACCGAATCGCCGGGTTCTTCGTTTTCAAGATAACCGATCGGTGACCAATCTCAGAAAACCGATTTTTCTATAAAACCGATGAACCGAACCGAACAGCTCGGTTAAACCGAATGCCCACATCTAATCGCAGCCAAACCTAAACATCTAAGACCTAAGGTTCTAACTCACTCTGTGCATTTTAAAACCGAACCGAAAAACCATACCGAAAATAAACCGAACCGAACCGATTTTTTTGTTTTTATGGTTTCTGGTTTCGGTATGGTATGAACTTTTCATACCGATTTGAACTTTGATTTTTATGGTATAATACCGAAAAACCGAATGGTTAACCGAATAAACCGAAGTAAAAGATAAATTTATATTTCTTGAGATGAACAACCGTACAAGTTGTCATTTTTCTTGTACATGAGTCAAATTCACTACTAAGCACCAACATTTTTCTTGTAACATTGTCATTTTTCTCTTTTTAAAATGCTAAGCACGTCCATAACCATCAACAGATGAATCAATGCATGCATATATACTTATATATATAGTCATATACTATTTGTGTAAAATAGAATGTGTTTTGAGTCATAAATTTGCAAATTATTATTACGTCATTTTCAAATTCGCGTCAACTTTGGTTTTTATGGTATATACCGAAACCATACTGAAATAATTTGGTATATACCGAAACCGAACCGTATTTTAATTTCATACCGTATTTACCGAAGTATTAATACCGTACATACCGAAAAAAAGTATAAACCGAACCATGTAAACCGAATAAACCGAACGCACAGGGCTAGTTCTAACCAGGACGCCTGCTGAGTATGGGGCACCTACCAGTCCGGCGCACTCCTCAATTAGGACGCCTGCCGGGTATAAGGCCGCCGCAGCCACCTACCACCAATCCATCTTTAGTGTTGTATTGCTGCACCACCTTGCCCGGCCTCTCTGCCATCGACGCCACCACGACGTCTAATGACGTCACCCTCCTGCGCGAGTCCCTCGCCACACAGCGGGCGCCGAATCTGCACTGCGTCACGCCACCAAGAAACGCCATCATTAATGTGCAGGATGAAACACCGCTCCACCAATTATTCCGTCCACTGGTCCCTCGAGCCCGTGTACACCTCCAAGAATGACACCACAAGAGGAAAACAACACAATAATGCCGCCGTCATCTGATCTACTAATCTAGGGTTTCCCCCGGAGGTAGCAGATAGTGGCCTGGAACTTCTCAACAACGATGCCTTCAACAAGGGAACGACACCAAATAGTGCCGCCATCGCCGGCCTCGGCAGCAGCCGCGAGCAGGTCTTCACCCAGATCTGTTCCAATGGCCTCCATCAAGCGTCTTGCGCACGGATCGTCCACCACCGCGGCCGCCGTGTCGCCCGTCGCAAAACCATAGCCGCCGATACATCCTTCGTCGTGGGGCCGCCGCCCCGGGATCCAGCCCTCGTTGGCCGCCAGAACGAAGCCACCGAGCCCCATCGAGGGCGACCAACGGGGCGGAGAAGCTAGATCCGACCAAGCCCGGCCATGATCCGGCCTCTCCCCGCGCTGTAGCCACTCCCACGGCCATGCATCTCGCCCGCACCCGAGGCGACGCAGGCAGCGCATGCGCGCACAACGCCGCGGAGAGGGGAAACGCCCCGCCGCCACCTTCCCTGGGGCGCGCGCGAACTTCGCCGGCGGCCCCTCCAGCAGCGGCGAAGCGAGGGAGGGGGCGAGGGGACCTGGCGGCGGCGGCGCTAAGTACAAATTTCATCGGTACAGCAAATCTTGCCTTTAAAAAAGGATAACAAAAAGTTACTCCCTCCCTGTGCGACAGTCAATTTGGACCGGAAGGAGCAAATACAAATGCAGGTCCCAAAAGGACGGAACTGCAGAGCACGTATTTTATCGCACGAAGCGGCTTAATCTGCCTGCTCCACGTCGTCGTCCTGCGCAAAGGCCTCCTTAAGCTTCCGGATGTTCCCCCGTACGGTGCTCATGTACGCGTGGAACATCTCGGCCCTCTCCTCGATCTCTCCAGGGCTCGTCGTCCATATCGAGCTGAGCGGAGGGCACGCGGGCGGCTCCGGGATCTTGCGCTTGGTCCCCGCCGGGGGCAGCTTCTGGCGTCGCAGCAGCATGCGCTCGACCCTGTCCGTGATCTCGTACATGTTCATCATCTTCTCCGGCCGCCGCGCGCGTTGTTTGGTCACGGATGGGAGCTGTGGGCTCTCTCCCGTTGCGATCGATCGATCTTTGCTGTGGCGGCTCCCGTTTCTGGTTACTTTATGGGTACTCCCATGATGTCCGATTCCTCCTCCGATTCGAGCTGCGTGGAGTGACCGGTGCCGTTTTGAATTCAAAACGCGTGGCACATTCTTTTTTTTTTGGACGTCGATATCCACCACACGTGTGGTATATTCGACATGCGCTTACACACCGTGTGTGGTCACGGATCGGAGTTGTGGCCTGTCGCGTTGTGTTATGTGTGATCGACCGATCTGTGGTGTCTCGCTTTATACTCCTACTCTAGGGGTGTGTTTGATTTAAGAACGAAGTGGAATAGAATGTCATGGTTCCATTTTAATAGCACGGGTCGGTTTCGTCCTTGTGTTTGATAGGAGCAATTTTGAAGAATGGAACGGTTATATGTTGGTGTTTGGTTCGAGAGATGGAATGAAATGAAATTGTTCATCTCACTTGATTAGATAGATTCATACTGAATCAGATTCTGATAGAAAACTAATGAATGCTAGTGAACACTTGATTATATCAATTAAGAGGTACATATAGACGTTGCAATACAGATACACAAGATCAAAGAACGAGAATCTATCATAATCAGAGAGCAGAAAAATCATATCACGCAACACACACACACACACCAACGTCCAGGAAAAATCAGATCAGGCACCACTGCTAGAAACAACTATCTGTCAATAGCTATGGTCTGCAGCTACACCATGACGGCCGAGTTCGCGAGGTTGCACTTTGAGCGCCTTCAGAAATAACAGATCGTTAAGAGGCATAGGAAGGAGGAGCTGCCGCTAGCAGGTGAGGCCGGGAGGCCGCCGCCGGCCAGCCACGAGCCACTGCTCCACTCCTCCTTAGCCGCTGCCCGCAGCAAGCAGCTATGGTCTCTCAGATGTGTCCGCGACGGGATGACCGCTCCTCGTTCTTTGCCTGGATGTGTGCGCGGCGGGATGGCCGGCTGTGAGGAAGAAAGACGAGCGAGAGGAGAGGCGACGGGGAGGTGAGGGACAGCCGGCGCTGGGTCGGGGGAGTGTGGCGGCGCTGGGATTTGGAGGGTGCGCGCGAGTCGGGGAGGGGGAAGAGGCGCAGGGTCCGCTCGTTCCGCGTGGTCCGGTGGATTTGGAGGTATGCCTTGGTTCCGCATATACAGAGAATATTCGTTCGGTGGGAACAAGTTGATTCCATTTCAGTGATGTACCGAACGCCGGAACGAGGCCCAGGTACGGGTCAGATCCATGCCATTCCACTTGGTGATTGAAACTGAACACATCCTAGGATGTCCGATTCTGGCTCTAGTTCGTGCTTCGTGCACAGGTCGTTTTTTTACGGAAATGTTAACGCCCACACGTGTGGGCGTTCACCATCTCGACCACACGCATCCATCGCCGTCCAGTACGTTTTGCATGAATCTTGGCATAGTCTGATCGATTTTCTATGCCACGTAGGACAAGGCGTGTGTGTGGTGCGTGAGACAGGTCGCCCGCACGCCGGTTGCCCCTCCGCGGTCAGCGGTTGCCACCCGGGGGCGTGCGGTGGAACTGCCATGCGCCCGCACGCCCCACGCCGATCGTGGTTGACGTCAAACACGTCGCGCACTTCGCCCCCCTCCCTGTTACGGTTCCATTTCCTCATCCCCGCAGTCACTCGCACAACCCACTTCGCATTTCAAACCATTGGGGGAGAAGTCGAGGGGAGAAGGCGACGGCGAAGGCGGAAGAATCGACGGTGTTCGCGGCCGTCGGTGGTGCTCGCCGGACCGGAGCGGCTTCGCCGGAGCGCCTGCAGATTGAAGGTAATGCTCGCTCCCACTCTCGCAATCCTTGCCCGCATTTCCCCCCTTCCCTCCCCGTTCGATGCTTCGCTCGAGATTCGTAGGGATTCAGGCGATTTGGCGATGCGTCGGTGTTCCCGCCGGCGGCGGAGTCCTGTGCTTGCCGTATTCGGTGGCACTGGGCAGTTTCGTCACCGCCGCGGCGGCGGTCTCGCCGGTGTGGTTTTGCCTGTCCAGAGACACACACTGGTTGTGCCTTGGGATTGGGCCGTTGTTTTCCGGTCTGTTGGTTGCGCATTGATCCGAATTGGTATTTGTGATCAGTTCGGGGAGAATTTTGAGGTTGAATTTCAAGTCATTACAGTTGCCATTGAACCCTAGATCTAGTTTAGTGTTTCTGAAACTGCAGTATGAAGGCAAACCTGGTAGCTTGATTACCTATCATGAGTGTATGGGCAACTAACTTCCTGAATGACTGTTGTAGTTGCCACAAACATGCTTTCCCATGCGGCAACTAATTTATTGAATGACTGTGATAGTTGTCACAAACATGCTTTCCCATGTGGCAACTAATTTCCTGAATTACTGTGATAGTTGCCACAAACATACTTTTCCATGTGGCAACTAATTTCCTAACTTACTGTGATAGTTGCCACAATCATGCTTTTTCATGTGGCAACTAATTTCCTGCAAAATACTGTGATAGTTGCCACACTGTATGAATTGTAAAGTGTAGTTAATTGGTAGTCACTGCAGTTTCAGCAATCAATTGCACTTGATGGCAACTAATCTGCACATCAACTGTGTCTGTTGCCACCCGGATAGTATATTCTTGTGGCAAATAGAATGTGAACACACCTTGTCTGTTGCCATATTGTAGACAGGATAATGTGGTAATTTGGCTTCATAACATGGCAACTAATTTGCAAATCAATTTTGTCAGATGCCATACATATGCTTCCCATATCGCAACTATTTTGTCTAACCATAGCATGTCTGTTGCCATATTACAGTCAGTATAGGGTATAATGTGGTAAATTTATTGTACGACAGACGCAATTTTCGTGTTTTGCCATGATGACTTGCGATATCTGAACACACTGTGGCAATTATTCTGGTTATTCATTATATATTTTTCATTGCTTTTCTGTATTATGTGTTACATTTTAACATGGCAATTTCAACCAAGCACATTTTTTCTTCTGAACACATGGCAACTCATTTGGTGTGTTTAGGACAAGGTGTGAGCTGCCACATATTAGGCTTTGTGCAGTGGAGGATTCTGTGACTTTCAATAAGTACTATATTGTGCTAACATGGCAACTTCAACATTTTGTTTTCAAGTGCATTTACGATCTATACATTTTTTCAAATGTAACCAATGTGCTTAATTGCCATATTTATGTTTTCGACAATCACAGGGGGTGCGTGCATGTTCATGCGATATTTTGCATTCACTAGTTGACATTTTCTGTTATGTGGCAACTGCTTACTTCCCTGCATTCTGTTTTCATTTTCCACCGTGACAATTTGGTCTGTTCCTACCTCAGCAGAATGGCTCGCGTTCATCGTCATAACGATGATGATGATTTCATGGATCCACCATAGCATAATCGGGCAACTGGACGGAGAAAAGAGGGCGATGAGGTAACTGTCCACACACCCCTCCTCCTGCATATGTTATTGGTTGCCACCTCGAGCTTTGCAGTCGTCTTGTCATGAACTAGAATTTCATGACAGTGCAAAACATGGCAACAACTGATTCTTTTTGTATGTTTTTCGCAGAAGAAGAAACGTATTCGCAACAGAGCCTCCCAAGAACGACTAACTACATTGACTGACAGATTTACCGACGATCAGAAGGGAGCTGCTGCTGAGATGGGTATGCAGGCTCTGATGAATGTTCGGTGCACGAATCTTGTCAACCTTGTATGCGACTGGCTTGGTGAGATTTACGACCCCGCCTCCAGGGAATTTGTGATTCCGGGACGTGGAAGACTACCGTTGAACGAGGAATATGTGTTCTGCACTTTGGGTGTGCCTCGTGGACAAATCAAAGACCCGTACGAGGTCAATAACGAGATCGAGGAAGCGCTGTTCCCCCGTTTTTTTCCTGGGTTGGAATCCATGCTGAACACGTCTGTACTGGCAGATTCGCTGCAGGCCATGACAACCCATGGAGATGTTTTTAAGATGAAGCTACTCATGTACCTCATCTCAGCTGTTTTCGCGCTGACCACTTCTCTTCACCCAAGCAATAAATGCTTCCCCATCCTGGTGAATGATCCATCTTTACTACTTTATTTTCCTTCAATCTTTTTGCTCCGATGTCATGTGTAAAGCTAGTCACTGCCAGTGTTTTTTGATGTTTTTTTCCATTCGATTTCTGATGCGGCAACTCGTTGTCCTGAAATTTTTTGCGGTGCAGGCAAAACTGGAAGATGTGAAGAACATGAATTGGTGTAAGTTCATAGCTGACTTCCTGCACGATGCATTCTCAAACAAGATGTACCAAAAGGGTCGTCGACTGCATTTAATGGTATTTTTTACGAGTCTTTTCTGTGAACACTCTTTTTTAACACCCATTTATTCATGCATGGCAACCTGATCATAACAAGATGGCAACTGCCATCATATTATGATGGCAACTGCCATCATTACAATGTGGCAACTGCCATCATTACAATATGGCAACTACCAACATTACAATATGGCAACTGCCATTACATTATGATGGCAATTAGCACACACAGATGGCAACTTCTTCTTTTTCTATTTTTCGTGCACTTTAACTTGATTATCATGGGAACATAGATTATCCTGTTTTTTCCCGCAAAGTACCATGATGGCAACTGATATTTTATTTCTTTTTAAAATTGTTGTACATTAGCTCATGTACGTCGACTGTCTTGATCTGTCCACCGTGGATTTCACTGGGACAGGAGGCCCACCGCCTACGCACAAGTTTGCTGTTTCTGCGTGGACTATCAACACTGTCAAGACTGTGCTTGCTGCAGACAGGGTAACTGATACCAAATATGGAAAACCGCAGGTTAGTTTTGGTTTCTTTCTCTACACGGCATGCTTATAAATTTGACATGTGGCAGCCGTCTGTGGTTCACAAGAGATGACTATCTTTGTTAGCCATGGCTGTCT